TCACTCCTCACCTCGCTGGATCACTCCTTACCTCACAAAATCATTCCTTACCTCACAAGATCACTCTTATCTCACTAGATTACCCCTCACCTCACTAGATCACTCCTTGTCTCACTAGGTCACTCCTCGCCTCACAAGATCATGTGCTACTATAAATCACACTTTTCCATTCTGGAACTCCCTACTTAATCCTTCTCCTGATCCTCCTCCTACTTCTCCCATCACCCATCCTCAATCTTCTTCATGAGTTCCTCTTCCTCTCCCCACCTCTGACTTCCTAGTTTTTCTCTCTTTACTCTACCTAACCTACCCAAGACAATCTCATGCCAAGCCATGTCTGTCATTAACATCTATATAAAAATAACTCCCAGCCGGGCTCAGTGGCTCAGCCTGTAATCCCAGCACTTTGGGAGGCCGAGGTGAGTGGAATGCCTGAGCCCGTGTTCGAGATCCACCCAGGCAACTTGGTGAGACCTCATCTCTACAGTAAATCAAAAAAATTAGCTGGGCGTGGTAGCACGCACCTGTAGTTTCAGCTACTTGGAAGGCTGGGGCGAAAGGATCGCCGGAGCCCAGCAGGTTGAGGCTGCGGTGGCCGGGAGCGTGCCACTGCACTCCAGTCTGGGCGACAGAGTGAGACTTCAACTCAAAAAAAATAAAAAAAATAACTTCCAAGTCTACCCACCTCACCCTGGATATTACAACCAGCAACCTCCTAGACATGACCTCAGGGACATCCCAAAGCCCCTCAAATCTGTCATGTCTCCTCTGACGACCCATTATCTTCCTTTCACCATTTAATCTATTTGCTCCCTGGTGCTGCCCATTTTAGCTAGATACTACCCTCCATCCAACTCACCCATCAGGGCACCTCTATTGGCTGACAGTCTCCTTGGCCCTGTCATCCAAAAGGGAGAATCCTAATGATTTTTATCAACTGAAGATTTAGTAAGAGTATCCCCTGTCCATTTCCCCTGACACCACCTGAGAACAGGATTCTGCTTATTCCCCCTCCTTGACTTTTCACAGTTATTATCTAGGGGATAATAACCAAGAATTGAGCATGAAATACCAACCCCTCCACAGCTGAGCTGCCCCTAGGTTTCCCATGTGACACACCTCTCCCTGCCTCAACCTTGGCAATTATGACGAAGCCCAACAAAAAGCTTGTACTCCCTTAACATGCCGCACTGCTGTGTGGCACTGCCTCCTCAGACACACTCCTCACGTGCCCAGAACACCCTTCTTCAAGATTCAGCTCAAGCATCACCTTTTCCAGGACATCCTTTCACACTCCTCCAACCTGAAGAGCCGCCGCTCCTTGGTGCTACCACGGCATTTCACGTCCACCCCCGGCACACCTCACACTCTCTGAAATTCCATCTCTATCTATCAACCTTCCCCAGCAAGACACTGAACTCCCCAAGGCAGGGACTGCTCATAACAGGTGCTCAACTTGATCCCTTCGCACACCAAATGTTACTGATAAATGACTCCTGGCTTGTTTCCAGACTTGTAAGTACCCGGGCATCTCAGATGAGCCCCTTCTACCATGCACTATGTGATCGAGAGGCTCTGTAGTGATCGTGATATTTTATTGTTCAGAGCATAGCAGTGTTGATTGCTACAGTTTGGAATGATGGTCCCCACTGCAGTTAAGAGTTAACGGAATAGAGAACTTAAACTAAAATTAACCATATCTTGCTACTCTACACAGTCTAAGATCTGGCAAGACAAATCTCTTGGGCAGGCACACTGTTGACACAGCACAATGAAATGAAACTCAATCAAGGAGGAAAACCTGCAATACCTTGAACACAGGAAATTCTAAGATCTGCTGACTCATTCTGACTTAAAGCTGCAGTAACACTTGAGTAAAGAGCACCCAAACTGACTCTGCATTTTTTTCTGCAGAGTTCACAGAATTTGGCATAAAGAAACTTCATAGTTGTTCTTTGTAGGCCTCTGCGATTTCTCAGATATTAGCTGCAATCACCTACATGATGGTGTTTGATAGCATTAAGTGGTATTTTTCTTGCAAAGATGCAGTCCTGATCAAAATGCTGAAGGGAGCTTAAAATACTGACAGTAATTTCTAGAACTCAATAAAACCACACAGAAAATCTCTTTCCCCAATGCAAGGCTCAGTGCTGGCTCTATTTGAGGCTGAAGAGCCCTGGTTAAGTCAACAACTCTTGTTCACACTTTGTACAAAGACATCTATACAACTGATTACATCTTAGGAAATAGCATTTAAATATCAACAAACGTGCTCAAAGACAATTGGGTAAATTTTCATCAGGACCAAAATTCTAAGAAACCATATTAGAGCAAATTATGAAGAAAGCAGTCTTCTCAAAATAGGTATTTCCAAGTCATCACTTACTTTGTCGCCCTGTAGGAATCACGTGAATTGCATTATAAAGGGCGAAATGGAAGAAATCTCTGAACTGAAGTTGAATTATGCTTGAATCAGTAATTTATCGTGCTTCTTATGTATAGTGATGATTAAATATTAACCAGCATTACTTCTAATAGTTATTCCATTTAAAATCATAGTATGCAAGTGCTATATTTGAGATATTTAACATGTTAAATGTTATATGGCTTTTCTTTCAGAAAAATAAAAAAACAGAATTCATCACTCAGATATTCACATTTTACTTTACGTGCTCTATGACATATAATCAGCTAGAAAATATGAGCTGTTTCAACAACAAACATCACTTTGACTAAACCAATGTTATAAAATAAAGTTTTATTGTACCCACTTCTTAGGAGGATCATGACTGAATACTTACTTGTTCAGTACAAGGTCAAGAATGAATTTGGATCCAAAAGCTTCAATCTGGAAGCTTGCCTGGGCCAGATGGACAGCCTGTGGATTCAAAAAGACAAAAAGAACCTTAACTTACTTTCCATCTTTAAGGCAGATTATATTCATATCAAGAATGATATTTGAACCAAATGTTCTCACTCATAAGTGGGACTTGAACATTAATCACATTAGCACAAGGGAAGGATTGGCAGTCGATGGACATTGCCAGGGGAGGGAGGGGGAGGCACATAGCACCAAACTGGAATCGGAGACCCAAATCTCACCTGCACAAAGCCTGCTTGTGTAACTAATTCTGACTTGTACCCCACATAGCTATAATTTTTAAAAAAGTAGGCCCAGCTTGATGGCTCAGCCTGTAATCCTAGCACTTTGGGAGCCGAGGTGAGTGGACTGCCTGAGCCCACGGGTTTGAGACCAGCCTGGGTGACCTGGTAAGACCTCGTCTCTACAATAAATCAAAAATTAGCTAGGCATGATAGGGCACGTCTGTAGTTCCAATTACTTGGAAGCCTGAGGCAAAAGGATCACCGGAGCCCAGCAGGTCATTCCAACCTGGGTGGCAGAGTGAGACTCCAGCTTAAAAAAAAGAAAAAAAAAAAAAAAAAAAGTTATATAACTAAAATAAAAAATGATATTTCAAAGGAACAACTTTTGGATGTATCAATTCATTTCTTTATGTGGCAATTCATTTCTTCAGGAGACCAGGTGCATTGTCATGGCTTTGCTGGGAAAATCTAAATACTTGGGCAGCAAAGAGCTAACAAGCAACCAGTCCTTTAAAATGAATCCACTGAGATAAAAACCAAGAACACATTCTTCTGGGCTTCCAAAATGACCATGGTGAGTTATGCAAAAGTCTGACTAATTAGAGCTGGAAGTCAGCCTGTTTTGTGCACAAAGCTCTCTGATTCTTTCTGCACACCTAAGTGAAAACGACGCCAGGACTCTGTTCTTCAGCAGGAATTGAAACTTTCTCTGGAACATTCTCTAAATGCTGTCTCAGCAGAATGTGACAGCAAAATGGGACAGGACAACCTTGTAACTTCAGAAAGCACTGAGAACCTAGCCCTTTTGAATGCTAGAGTGTACATCCCCTTAAAGAGTCACACATTTACAAATACTGTCATTATTATGTCTTAACTCAAAATACAAAGATAATTCCATATAAACATGAATTCTGACTAAGTGTGTTAGAGATTAGTAGAGTTCATAGAAGCATCTTGAATAATGTAAATTAACAAATCAGTGAAGTTTTGTCAAGTATTGCCCAACATAAAACCCTCCCGTGTCACCCTATCAGGAAAAAAAGACAAGGATACATGCGATAGCCTCACCCTCTTCCTTTCCCAGATCACTCCTACAGCACAGCAGGTGTTGCAAATCATCTGTGAGGCACTACATGCATGGCAACTGGACACGGTACAGACACACCAGGCATCCCCCTCCTACGCCTCCCATTCCCACATTCCCCCAGCATCACCCATGCTCCTCTCAGTCTCCCCCTCCACTTTTGATTCTCCCTATTCGTCAGTGGTACCACACCTGCATCACTCGCCAGGACACCTTCCCTCACGCAGTCTTCGTGACCAGGACTCAAGGACCACTTACATATCCCTCCCTCCATCTATCCTTCTCCATCCCTCCCGTGGATACAAACTCCCAGATACATATCACAGGGGTCTTGCAAACAGGTGTCAATGGCAACCCTTCCCCCAAATCTCTGACCTTTCAAGTAATTCACCAAATTCATCTCCAAGACTATTTTGCCATGGCAAATCCATAAGACGCTCAAATAAACCGTGTTTTCTACTTCTAGTCAAGCACACTGCCAAAGCAGTCACTCACTAATAACTGATACAATGTAAAAAGAAAATTAACAAATGTTAAAAGGTAAATACAAAGCAATGAGAGAGAAGGTTCCTGAAGCCTTAACATGTGGGACACCAAGCCAAAAATTCCAAACAGTCACACAGAGCAGGGTCCCCACACTCATCCTGGGCTTCCTGCATCCAGGCAACTGCATGACAGAGGAAGGAACTTTGGACTGTCAAGTGTGAACTCTGCCAGCAGCAGCAGAACTTCTATTTATTCTAAATAGCCATTAGTGTTTAATGTAAATTCATTCTGTACCTTGAAGCATTAATTTTTACATAAAGATATTTATACAGATGAATAATTTATACAAGGAGATATTTTTCAGTTCTAGCTCCAAAAAGGTTTTTCTTGAAGCAAGTAAAACTTTCTGAGAATAAGATAGGCCCATAAGCATATTTTCCTTTAAGAATATTATGGGCTGAGCACAGTGTCTCATACCTATAGTCCCTACACTTTGGGAAGTCGAGGTGAGAGGACTGCCTGAGCCCAGGAGTTCGAGACCAGCCTTGGCAACATGGCGAGACCTCATATCTACAATAAATAAATACATAAATAATTTTTAAAATTAGCTGGGCATGGTGGTACATGTCTCTATTTCCAGTTACTTGGGAGGCTGAGGTGGAAGGATCTCCTGAGTCCAGCAGTCAAGGTTGCTGTAGTCATGATCATACCACTGCACTCCAGCCTGGTGGCAGAGTGAGACTCCAACTCAAAAAAAAAATAATGCGGTAGAAAAGAGTTCACTAATGGTACCCTGGTCTAAAAAAGATGATAACCATACTCCTTGAGCACTAAGGAGAACCTGACAGTGACTCAGTAAAAGGCTAGTTTTACAGCAAATAAGCAGTGAGCCAAGTACAAACACCAATGACATCCTGCTGCAAAATAAGTCTGGCACTGAAGCAGTACCCATCGTCTATAGAATTGTAGGAGTTAAACAACTGGGTCATTGTTAAAACAAGTTTGTATCTCATCAACATGACATGTTTCAGTAACAGAATTTAACAAAAGAGCTAGCAAAATAATATTGGGTTTTCCTTTTGCTTTTTCATTTACTCATTCCACACACATATTAAGTCCCCCCTTGGGTATAAGTATGGCTGGGACACAGCCACTGCCCTCAAAGAAGTGACAGAGAAGCTAGTAGACCCACCAGCCTCAGCTTTTGTAGTGGGCCCCAGGAGAAGAGGGGCCCAAAAAGGCTCCACTGACAAGGTGCACAAAATTTCAAAAGATGAGTAAGAATCTGCTTGCCAGGAGAATAGAGAAAAAACACTTGCAAAACTAGAGTCAAAAATGAATGTGGGAAAAGAAACCTTTTAACATTTTTTTAACATGAATATGGCCTGTAGGAAAATGGTTTTCAGAGGAAATGTCAAAGAATGAAACTGAAAAGGTTGGCTGGAGACCAGCAGGCTTTGTGTGACATGTTCGATGACATAGACAGTGACAACTATGCACATGTGGCCAAGACAGTGAGCTTTCCCCTAAATGTTCATTCCCCCCACTCAGTCAGTACCATGTCTGGAACATGCCATCAATCGTCATCATCGTCATCATCACCACCATCATTACCATCCTCATCACCATCATCACCACAACCATCACCACCACCACCACCACCACCACCACCACCATCACCACCATCACCATCATCACTATGACCATCACTATCATCACCATGACTATCACCATCACCACCATCACCACCATCACTATCCTCATCACCATCCTCATCACCATCACTACCACCATCATCACCATCATCATCACATCAACACCATCATCACCATCACCATCATTATCCTCACCATCATCACATCACCACCACCGCCATCATCACCAACACCATCACCATCACGATCGTCACCTCCACCATCACCATCACCACCACCACCACCATCAGCAGCAGCACCATCAGTACCATCATCACCATCATCACCATCATCACCATCATCACCACCACTGCCAACACCACCACCACCATCACCACCATCACTATCACTATCATCACCATGACTATCACCATCACCACCACCATTGTCACCATCCTCATCAACATCACCACCACCATCACCACCACCACCACCACTACCACCACCATCACTATGACCATCACTATCATCACCATGACTATCACCATCACCACCACCATTGTCAACACCCTCATCAACATCAGCACCACCACCATCACTATCCTCATTACCATCCTCATCACCATCATCACCATCACCATCACCACCACCATCATCACCATCATCATCACATCAACACCATCATCACCATCACCATCGTTATCCTCACCATCATCACATCACCACCACCACCATCATCACCAACACCATCACCATCACGATGGTCACCTCCACCATCACAATCGTCACCTCCACCATCACCATCACCATCGTCACCACCACCATCAGCAGCAGCACCATCAGTACCATCACCACCACCATCACCACCACCACCACCACCACCATCACTACGACCATCACTATCATCACCATGACTATCACCATCACCACCATCACCACCACCATTGTCACCATCCTCATCAACATCATCACCGCCACCATCATCAACATCCTCATCACCATTACCACCACCATCACTATCCTCATCGCCATCCTCATCACCATCATCACCACCATCATCACCATCACCATCATCATCACCATCATCACATCACCACCATCATTACCATAAACACCATCACCACCATCACCATCATCACCATCATCATCATCATCATTCAAACATTAACACATTATTCTCCAGAACAACAAAAGCAATTTACCAGACCAGTAACAACATACCTGTTTCTCCATAGGAGAAAAAAAAATCTGATTTCATCATTTTTATCAGGAAGAATGTTTTAACATTTTGACTTATTTTAATTCTAAGAGGCAGCACATATTCTATAAGTGATTTAAGATTTCCTCACCATATTCATTTTCTATGTGCATGTATCAAGTGGAATCAGTATTTTCATCTAATACATGTGTATCCATTTTAAGTAATTTCAATACATTGATATATGTTATTTTTCTTATATTGTTTCTCTTTCCAGTGCTGTACATTACACAATTACATATAAAGTACAGATTCTTCTCTGTACCAAAATAAATACCTGGCGAGTACTTTTTCCTATCATTCTGTATTTC